GCAATATGCTGACTCTCTGTAAACCGCTTAGAGAGGCCTGAAAGGCCTATGAAGCGGTATATAAGTCCACTGCTATTGCTATTGCTATTATTATTGCTTTTAATGAAAATTTTGTTCTACATGCTGATAATAAAGCCTATTAAACACATTAAATTTGATATACTGTATAGTTGGATACTCATGGATTCCCTAATCTAGAAGGAAAAAAGAAAAGAAAAAAATGTAGTGTTTTTGCCATGATTGCACAAATGAAGGCATCATGTAATTTAATATAATATCCAGACCACCTATTCAGGAGAGAAGCCTTGTTAGCTGATCAAGAGAGGAAAACAATAGAAGGAAAGGTATTAGTGATGTTTCAGCACAGAATTGTTCTATGCCTTCTCAATACTGAGTGGGCTATTGTCATTAATTCAAATGATTCTTTTGCTAGTGAGAAGTAGATCTTTCCAAAAGGTTATCATGCTAACACTGGGTAATAAATGGACTTTGTCTTAATCCCTTACATATACTGCTTTTAAAAATGCTTCCCAGTTTTGGTTTTCAACAAGACTTTGATTAAATGTTTGTTAAAAAGCAGTAAGAGAATCTGTCTCTGTTAAAATCTAGTTTAGTTTCCTCTCTGTGTCAGGAAAAAAGAGAGAAAAACTTGTCTTCTTATCCCAACTCCAAGAATCTAATTGGTTCAATATATTCCAGCTCAGGTCAGATTTATCTAAATCAAGGACCTTGTCAGGGCAAAATAAGATCTTTTTCAAGCTGGTTAATAATTTCAAGGGTTTTTTTCCTTCTTCAAAGAAGCAAGTCCCTTGAGCTTTGATATACTGTATGTACCACCAGCTGCAGATAGAGAATTTCCGAGAATCTGAAGAATTATTCAGAATCCCACCGATACCTACAACACATTCATTACAGTAGCCTTTGCCCATGATGTGTTTCCAAGGAAGAGCTGTTAATCTATTTCAATGTCTACTACAATAGTTCAGCTATCTATTTTTTTAAGTAGCCTGTTCCCTAGGAAGCAATGTTTATTATTAATAGGTCCCCGAACTTCTTAGAAGACAGCAGAACAAAGGGCAGTGTGAAGATCAGTCTTACGTTAGAACTAAATATGTTTTAACCTGCCCTGTCTCATTGAATGGTAAGGCAGTGTTCAAAAAGCATGATAGCCCCAATAGACCCAAATACAGGACAATAAGATGGTGAATAATCTTGCAATTCTTTAGAAAACAGAACTGGACCAAAAAAAGAAAAGTAATTTAAAAAGCCGGAATAATATTTTTAACTGCACCAAAAGAATAGCAATATGATTTTTTTAAAAAGTGCTGGTGATGGTAGAGGTAGAGGCATTCCAGAAATACCTCTTAGTTTCTTAAAAATGCTCTGTTTATAGATCACATCACTTTTCAATCCCTGAGAGTGCTTCATTTTGCCATAGATATGGCAGGAGCTATGTAGGGGTTCATCCATTCACAGTATTCCTCATCATTATTATTTTTCATGCACTCTGTTATTCCTACGCATAAAGACTTAGCATCTACTTTTCATGGGTAGAATGAATCCATGATGATCTACATCAGTGGTTCCCAAACTTGGCAACTTTAAGACTTGTGGACTTCAACTCCCAGANCGGGTCCACTGGTGGAACCTCTTCTAACCGGTTCGGTAGATTTGACGAACTGGTTCTACCAAATAGGTGCGAACTGGTAGGAACCCACCTCTGACCTACACTCAACTGACAGGTTTCAAACTCTGGAAACGTATATTCCAACTAGATAATATCCATCAAAATAGAGTAAGCTGAAAAACAGCAGAGACTGACAGACTCACTATGGGTAGACCCTTAGTCAATTCAGGCATCTGGCAGACCAATTGGAAAGTGGTTTGATAAACAGCCCATGATACCAATTTCATCCTAGAGCTCTGAGGATGCATGGCTAGAAAATTATTCCTGCAACAAGACGTGTTACAGTTTTCCATGCAATGGAAATGGGATAGATCCTATACGTAAGGGCAAATAAATGGAGAAATGGAGTTTCGCTCTGTTGTTTTAAATAGAGGGAGAAGTGAGTTTTATTTTATAACTGTCGAGCTGAAAAATCAGTGTTGGTAAATGTTTTGGAGGTCTGCAGAGGCTCAGAGTTTTCAGGGATTGCATACGACCCTGAAGGTTTCAGATGTAGTTTCAACCCTATTATTTATTGTTTTTATTTAATTATTTGTTTATTTAATTAATTATTCAATTAATTAATTTATATTGCCACCCATCCGCACATGGTGACTCAAAGCGACTTGCAGAATATAAAACCTCATATGAAAACAGCAAAACTAATAAGAGTCATTTAATAAATTAATATAATAAAATCACCCTGACCCACCCACTCCTGCTGGCAGCACCTCACATGAGCCAGGACTATTAGGTTTTTTTTTTCTATGATGGTTGGATGAATGGGCTAAGGTAGAAATAGTGTCTCACATCAAAATGGTGCTTAAGAATGGAATGAGAGACCTTGGTGTGACTCTCGACATGGATGGGGAACCTTGAGGAAAGGGAAGAAGAGATGCTAGCTAGGAAACAATCAGATAAGAGGGGTAAGAATCCACAGTCATTTAGCTGTCAGAGAAAGAAATTGAGGAAGGATCTGTTCTAATAAAGGAAGCATCTGAGAGTGGAAGGCAGGAAGTTTGTGCTTCAGACATCCAAGGTTGTGTTAATGTAGCATTACAATGAAGTAGATTTGGCTCATATAGTCATGTTTTCTCTCTGGATTATCCAGGAATGGTGGCACAGCTTCCCTATGTTTCAACTAAGGATATGATTACTTCACAGCTGAAGACCCTACTTCTTAAAGAATCAAACTTGGGAGGATTAACAGTAACCCTAACCCTATTTATAATCGTGTACTTAACTCTTTGGCATCACTTATAAAAACCTTTTAAAAGTCATAGGTATGTAGCAGTGGTGGGATTCAAATAATTTAACAACCGGTTCTCTGCCCTAATGACCATCTGGGTAGGTGGGGCTCAGTGGTCATACGACCGGGTGGGCTTGGCCAACTCAATGTCACTCAGGTCGAGGGCACTTCGCCTTAGCTGTTACAATGTAATAAGGGTTAACCGGAGAGGCAGTTTCTGTAAGCAGGGCAATAAAGATTAAGCTAGAAACAACACCAGAATGTTTCCTTCCTGCCTTCCTTACAGGATTAGCCCTGTAAAGTGGAAAAAAACAAAAGGAGATTTCTTCCAACAACCGGTTCTCTGAGCTACTTAGAAAGTTACCAACCGGTTCTCGCGAATAGGTGCGAACTGGCTGAATCCCACCACTGGTATATAGGTATATGTAATGCAACACATATGCATACAAACTCAAACAGAAGCAATGTATTTAACATATCAATGATGTAGCACACTTACTTTATTCTTTTTGTGCCTAAAAAGCAGAAAATCATATTGCCCTTGAGGTGGCTGTTAGCTGGATCCACTTGATGAAGTGTCTAATGACATATGAATTCCTAGGCTCCAATCAGTGTCGAATGTACCATTTTACAAGTTGGAAGCATTTCCTGCTTGTTTCCCTCCAATGTCAAAACAAAAATGCTCAATACAGTGTTCAGTGTTCAAAAGGAAGGGCAAATTAGGAGCATCACTTGATTGATAGGTTTATACAGAGTTTACTAAGGGTCTAAGGATGGCTCTGTTTATTCATAGAATATATTATCACCTACCTCCAAAGAAAGCTATTATTAGAGATTATTCAGAAAGCCTGATTGACATCACCAGGTAATCTGGCCCTCGATTTGCGTTGTGCATTCTATGTACATCCTATAAGCCAAACATAATAAAGCATATCTCTACTGCTAGGCCCAAAACAGGTGTTTCTCATCTGAGCAAAATATATTGTAAGGAACGTTGATTATTCCTCCTTGACTTCCAGCCAATATTAATGCAGAATAAGATAAGTTAGAGGTAAACTCAATCACCTTATGTGTCCTACTATTTAGCTGTGAGAAACTAAATTAAATGAATCAGCAAAAGAAATTCCTCACTTAACCTTGAGCCCTAAAAGAGACACCAGAGTAGATGAAAAACCACCTCAGGCAAAAACTAATTAGCAAGAGGAAGAAATAGACCACAACTGGTAACTTGACCAGCATGGGGTAGTAGCAGTGTTACCAAAAAAAAAGGAAGGGAAATAATTTTAAAAACCCTTAGGTATTTAGACTCTACACCATTTCTTGTATTTGCAGCAGTGTGTAATGCTTTATGTTCTAGAAGTTGAAAGACAGTAGTGAACATACTAATGTTCATGTGCATGCAAAATAATGCTACAGCTGTGAAGCCAGAATTTCTGAAGTGGGTAAGAAATTAGAGATAAGGATTGGAGATGGATAAGGGCCTTTTAAAAATATAGTTCTAATGTTTGTTGAAAATAATCTCATAATATAAACATAAATTGAATAGATACATATGCACATATGTTTATCTCATTCTTTATTTTTTAGTTAAGACCTAAAGACTTACTTCCTTCATTCTGCTTTATGGGAAATTATTACAATTATTACTGTTTGTAAATCATTGGAATATTCATTTAGTAGCCCAGCTCAGCCTCCCAAAATTGTAACCCCCAACCTTTCAGTCTGAAGCACAAATTCCTTCAATTCCTGAATTTTCTCCCAGTGTCAGTGTAATATACCAAATCATAGTATTTCATCAATCCACTGATCATTTTCTCTCTTGTACATCAACTTGACTTGATGAACAAATTGATGATCAGGATGATAGGAAATGCTGTGTAAAGGCACCATTTTCATACAATTGTTGTCTGGGATATTTTTTTCCCATTTGATGTTTTCTTTCTTTCTTTCTTTCTTTCTTTCTTTCTTTCTTCCTTCCTTCCTTCCTTCCTTCCTTCCTTCCTTCCTTCCTTCCTTCCTTC